GAGGGGAGCAGTAGGCAAGACAGGAGAGGTCTGCTGTGCCATGTGGGCCAGCTCCCTGGCCAGGAATCGAACTCATGCTGCAGTGGCTGCAGATAGCTTCATAGTGGTGATACTTAACCCCTTGCACCACTAGGGAGCCCCAAAACAATGCTTTTTTTTAACCATAATTCTTTTCTGAACATAACTAGAGAGTGAAATAAAATTTTTTCATTAGATAGAAAATATCATAATTACTAACATGATGCTAAGTGGCTTTAAGAGTCATTTGCATATTGTAGGTAACATCTTTTTTTAGTAGACTTCCCTGCTAAAGTTGTCATGAGAAATCTGAAGATAATAAGTATTTAGAGGCAGCACAATTACTTCACTATCATTTAGAATAAACTGTTCTAACCTATGTATGACCCTTAACCACACTTAAACCTTTTTTAATCTAAGAATGCTGGCCCTTGGGTGAGATTCCTAGTCTTTTATCTGAGAGTTACACATATGTACCTGGGAATAATCTTTCAAAGGCACACTCATTTTTGGTCTAAAGGTGATTTGTAGGTCTAGGGCATATTCCTGCAGCTGCCATAAAACATATGACTAAATCAGATCAGATTAAAACAGGCTGGTATTGACAGCTCACAGGGAACATATTGATTAGGTCTCCTTTCATGTTATTTGTTATGATTTTTCTTCTCAGTTTCATTTACTAGGAAGACACAGGGGAAGAGATTTCAACGGAACAATGACAGTGCCTGTCACAAAATGTTCTCAATGTTTCCATTTGTTACTATGGCAGTGACAAAGAGGGTTCCAAATGAAAAGGCAGACCTGCTGTGACAAAGCACAGCAGGACAACAGGAAGAAATTTTCTCCTGACCTGGGATATTAGGAAATCATACTTAGAGATTATAGAAATGTCTCCATTTCCAATGGTACAATCGTAGCACTTGGGCTTTTGAGGGAGAATGTGAAAGGGTAGTTCCATCAGGACTGACTAGTGACAAATAAAGGGCAATGTTACAAAGTGCTTAAGATCTCCAAATAGAAAAAGAAGGTATGCTTGTAGAGAATAGATGGATTTGTCACTGTCACTAAATCTTTGAGATTGAACTATGAATTTAATTTATGTATACTTTAAAATTATACACGAAAATCTATGATGTAGTCATGTATCTTTTATTTTATTTATTTATTTTAAAAGATGTATTTATTTATGCATATAAGAACTGGGATACAGGCCAGAGTTGTGGTGGGTGAGAAGATTCACCAGAGACAGAGTGGGGAGCAAAACAGGTGGAATGACTGCAATACACTGCTGAGGGGAGCAGCGGGTGAGTCAAGAGAGATCTGCTGGGCCATGTGGGTCAGCTCCCTGGCCGGGGATTGAACTCCTGCTGCAGTGGCTGCGGACAGCTTCGTAGAGCTAAGATTCAACTACTTGCACCACCAGGGAGACCTGTCATATATCTTTTAAGTGGCTAAAAAGAACACATGGCACTCTAGTGCTGGGGTATATAACTAGCACATGCTAGGTGAAGTGATGCTTTACCCAAGAACTTGAATTGGGACTGGAATATAGTTATGCAAAGTCACAAAAGACAGAAGTACTTTAAGCCAGCAACACTTGAAAGTAATAGGAGGAATATATTAACTAAAGATAAAGGGGTCATTTAGAAAGGAGTTATGTTAATCAGGCAAAACAAAGAAGAGTATAAAGTATATAGTAAATGTAAAAGTTGCTATTGCATTTCTATTCATGTTCAAGGATTGGAGTATTTCCAATACTAGTATAGTATTAACCAATAGATTTTGAGTATTTCCAACTAACATCTCTATTGTAAGATGGATGCATCAGCTTAGGGCTATTAAAAAGTTGACTCACATAACTCCTTGTATTTGGATTCCATGCTGACCAGGCAAGTTTATGATTTGGCTTCTGTATCTCTGTAGAGCAATCAATTCTACTGCTTAGCAAAAAGCTTCTGGTTCAAACTCACCAGGGACTATAGTCCTTCGATCTCTTCCCTTTCACTTTCTCTTTCTTTTCTGCAACAATCTTACCCTGGTGTCCTCAGTCTTTTATAACAAAAAAATTGTACGTTGTAAAGTTACTGCTCAATAAATAAGTCATCTGTTCAGATAATAGGAAGATTCTCTTTGGCAAGCTTTTGTCAGTAAAGCTCGTTAGTCTGTGGTTCTTAGTGATGACATTTCCCCATAAGTTTTAGAGAAGCAATCCAGTGCAGTGAGTAAGAATATTGACTTAGAAGCCAGACTGCCTGAGTTTGAATCCTAGTTTTTCTATTTTTCAGCTACAAGACTTTAGGTGAATTTAGTGCTCTGTGATTCAGTTTTCTAATAAATAAAATGGTGTTAAAAATAAGTTTTTAGGAATATAAAATGAATCAATATACTTAAAGTGCTTAAGCTAACTATTGAATAGTAGTGGTTAAGATATTTATTGATTATATAAATGTTATCTATTGCTATTAATATATAACTTGATTTTCATAGACTATATGTTGAGCATGCCAACATAAATATTACATTAGTAAAATGACATTAGAGTGTTCATCTCACTGTAAGTGCATTCTTTTAGGATTTAATTATCCTAGGCACTGATCAGAGTAGGTTTAAAGAGGAAAAAAGGCTACTTAATTGAGGCATTACCAATAAAGTTCTGCCTAGTTTCAGCCTGCCTTCTGCTTTCTCCATACTGATTTCAACATTATATTGTGAAATTCACTGTTTGGATCCAGAGTGTGATAAAATGAATAAAGTGAGTAAACTGCCAACAATTACACAAGGGATTGGATTGGCAAACTATAGCTGAAGGGCCAGCTATAGCCTGTGGTGTGCTTTTGTACAGCTGAAGAACTAAGAAAGGTTTTTACAGTGTTGTAAAAAGCAAAAACAAAACAAAAAGCAAGCAAACAAACAAATCAAGAAGAATACGCAATATAGCAGGTATATGCAAAGTCCAAAATATTCACTTCTCTAGTCCTTTACAAAAAAGTTTGCAGATCCCTATTCCACACTCTGTCTTTTTCACTTGCCTAACTGTACCCAAACAATAAGTATCTAATGAGGTTATATAGCAGAGTGAGCTAAAATGAGGCTGAAAAATCCTCTAACAAAAAGCCCAAGTGCTTTGATGAGGTAGTTCATTTATCATCCTAACCACAATACAGATGGGTATGCTGAGAATGTATTCTCTCTCCCTCAAAAATGCCTTATGTTCTTTCCTAGTACTACAAATATTACAAGTAGTTTAGGTGTCTATAAGGGAATCTGTTGGTTAAGGCCAGGCAGCCTCGGGATGGGACCTAGTGATGGTGATAGTTGTTAATTAGGTCACCATCATATCTATAAAGACCGCATGATGTATTAAACACAGTAAAATAGAATACTTACTGTTTAAAATATTTTAAAATAGGCACAATTCAGATATAGTGTGATTTTGCTTCTGACTATCAAAATAAAGCGAACACTGCAATAAATTGAGTTACATGAATATTTTAGTTTCCCAGAAAAGCTGTTTTTACTCTGTACAGTAGTCTGTTAAGTGTGTAATTGCATTATGTCTAAAAAACAATGTACATACCTTAATTAAAAATATTGCTAAAAAGTGCCAAGCATCTGTGCTTCAGTGAGCTGTAATTTTTTTTTTGGGGGGGGGGGCTGGTGTGGTGTCTTATAAAAAACGCAGTATTTCTGACAATGAAGCAGAGTGCAATAAAGTGAGATATATCTATACTTAAATAAGGTATACACAGCACACAAGTCAGAAAGCTTCTGTACTAAAATACCTGATTTAGCCAATTTCTAACCAGAAAATAATAGCATTTCTTCAATACATTAAAGAAATTTAGCCTTCATGAAGTAGTCTGGAATAGGAAATTAGCTGCATAATAATTTAATCAATGATGAAGCCTTTTAGAGTAAAGAAATTAAAGATGCAAGCATAACAATAAGTAGAAAGTTAGCCATAGTACATGCTCTTTCTAAATAACAGGACGTGGAACATGTTATCAATCTAACAGCTAATAGCTCACTTAAGACTAGATAAGAATAATTTCAAAGAAGGAAAAAAGAAAATGTTTATGTTGGTGAAAAAGATCATTAAAAGAGAAGAATATTCATAATTTGAACAATATTAAAATAAAATCATCACACAGACTGAAATGTTTCCTATGATTCAAAATATCTTCCAAGGATGAGGGAAAATGGTTAGGTCCAATTGTTTTTGAAGTTAGAGAAACTGAGAAATAAACACAGCTCAGAAAGGACTTTTCTAGGCTATCATTCAGGGATCTAAAGCCTTTTAAAGACTCTAACCCAGCTTAACTGCATTTACTAGAAGGAGTTCAGACTTATCCAAAGAACGTTTGAACCACGTTTTAGATCAGCCTAACTTATCAAGCCAAGAATCTTCCAATTGTCTTGATCTTATTTTTAAGTATTCATTCCAAAAATGATTTGGTCCTTATAAAGAGTACTAGTTCTTACTGAGTCTGAACCAGACAAAATTTAACCCTTTCTAGTACAATAAACATGCAACTATTGTTAGAAACATGTTTCACCCGTGATAAAATCCAAAGACATCTTCTTTAGTTATTAGCATACTGCTTAATATTCACCACAATTTGTTTTAAAGAACAGCAATGTGTTAACATTTAAGCCTGAAGGTCTATGAATATACTATATTCGTAGTATATATCGATGTAGCATGTTTATGCAACACTCTGACAGACACAATTAATCTTGTGAAAATGACTGGGGCGTAAGAAAATAGCAAATCATCTTTAAGCCAAAATACATATTTTTCTTGTTGTAAAATATCCTCATAATACTCACAATGATAGTTGCATATGAAAGGAAAGAACATTAGGAGTCAATAACATAAAAGAAGTTGAAAGTTATTAAATTCATAAATCTTGGCTATATGGTAAAGACAAAGGTTAAAGGAAATGTTTAACTTAATAAGTATGAAATAAATGAGTTTGTACCTCCAACAAATGCATCTCCAGCTCCATTGGTATCAACAATTTCTTTCTGGTCTTGATCCAAGACAGCAAAAGTGGTGACTTCACTTTCTGCAATTAGAGCCAAAGAAAGGCAGACTGACTTTTCTTTTAACACTCAATATACAAAAACTCAACCAGTAAAGTTGAAGTTCCTTCAACATTCATCACTAAAGGAGAGTGTCAGAAACATGAACCCAACAATCTATACATGAGCACTTGGGAATCAAGGTGCAAGATGTAAGCAATATTTTTATGATAATTTTCAGCAGACAGATGTTATATGTGTTTTGTTAGAGTTAAACCCAGTTCAGATTTTTTTTTTGGGGGGGGAATGACTGTAAATGGTAGAAGTACAAATACTTAAACAAAAACTATGAGCTAAAGGAAGTGTTTTCAAGATTGGATCATGGAACTCTAATAAAGCTTCAAGCCTGACTGCATTTCTGGCAGTGAAATCTTGGATATAGAGAGGCATAAATTTAAAAATATATAAATAATGAGTTTTGGCTCTTTCTCTACAGAAAATTACAATAGCACAATAAAAATGTTACTGCTTTCTATAATACTTCATACCAGTATCAAGGATTAAATATTTTAGTTGGCTTGTTACAAATAATCTATAAACTGGTTACTCTTTATAATGGGATCACTGTTTCCTTTAAACAATCTGTCAACTAGCAAAAGGGAAAGCTACCATCCAATGTCCAGGAAAAACAAAAGGGACAGTGCAATGGGCTCGTGTCTTATAGTAGTCTGGACTAGGGCTTGGTTTGACTATAGAGTAAGCTAATGTAGTATTTTATTTTTTCTTAAAGATTTATTTATTTATTTATTTATCCAAGCACTGGGTACAGTCAGAAGCAGGGGAGGGTGAGAGAATTCACCAGAGCCAGAGCGGGGAGCAGAGCAGGCAGAAGGACCGAAGTACACTGCTGAGGGGAGCAGCAGGCGGCAGGAGAGGTTTGTGCGCCATGTGGGACCCTCCTCTGGTGGCCGGGGAGCAACCGGGAATCGAACCGGCGCTGCAGAGGCTGAGGGCAGCTTTGCAGCCCAGCTCTCAACCGCTGCACCACCGGGGAGGCCCCCAATGTAGTATTTTAAACTTGGCACATGACAATGGAATGGTGTCATTTGTGATGAAATCTGGATAGTGCTTTTTATTGGGGTTAGAACTTCTGAAATAACAAATTTGCATCCCTTATGGGAACAGGTGTGAACACAGAGTAGTAAACAATCTCACCTAAGATCAAGAGGGAAAGGTGATCTTAAGGTCTTGATAAAGAACCTAAAAATCTCAAAAGGCATAGTCTATCTGCTTCTTCTGTTACTCATGGATACTTTCAATATGAGACAAGCACAGATATGATGAAAAAAAAATCCTCTTGGAAGAACTGATAATAAGATTACTTGCTCATTTAGCCAAAACCTTTGATCATGAGTATAGATGGTAAGAAAACTCCATACCAAAAGCATCTATTTAAACTCTTTAACTAACTTTCCGTAACACCAGGATCTGCATGGCAGCTAACAAGATTTTGATTAATTGGAAGTTAAGGCATACATATCAGAATTAAATTTTCAGGCCTCCCCGGTGGCGCAGCGGTTGAGTGCTGGGTTGCGAAGCTGTCCGCAGCCTCTGCAGCGCTGGTTTGATCCCTGGCTGCTCCCCGGCCACCGGAGGAGGGTCCCACATGGCACGCAGAACTCTCCTGCAGCCCGCTGCTCCCCTCAGCAGTGTACTTCAGTTCTTCTGCCTGCTCTGCTCCCTCCTCTGGCTCTGGTGAATTCTCTCACCCTCCCGCACTTCTGACTGTACCCAGTGCTTGTATAAATAATAAATAAATCTTAAAAAAAAGAAAAAAGAATTAAATTTTCTAGGGAATATACAATTCATATTGCTATACAGGGTATAAAAAATGTAAGTAGAGTTTATAAGAAGTAATTAGGAAAGGGCTACAGTCAGATTTAGGAGAAGGTTGATACTATAAATATTTATAAAGAAATCTGGTTTACTATATGCAAGTACAAGTCATACTATGAAGGAAATTAACAATTATGAAGTAAAAATAAATAGGCAATGAATAAGTAAAATGAGCTTTAATGACATCATTACCATTTACAATAGGGTTATATTATACAATAATGTAACCTATCTGTAAAACATTTTAGGTAATATAAGAATTACTGGATTACAAATTTAAAAACAATTACATATAAATGGTAAGTAAGGTGCAATTAGATATAACTCCTTGATCTCTTTGTTTGAAAAAGTTACTGATTTGGGGTTGGATAAACATTTTTGAAAAATCTAATTCACAATGGAAGAAATTTATTCAAACTTTGCTCTTAAGAATTACTAAAAATTACTGAAAATTCTAAATGGATAGGATTTTACTATACTTTTTATCTGGAGATATATATATATATATATATATATATATATATAAAGTATCATTGAAATGCTTTATCCTTAGATGTCTTGAGAAGTTCAGTTTCCTGAAACATAAAGTAGAATTATTTTCTGTCTTTGTACTTATTAGTATAAATAGCTATTTAAAAATACTAGGAATGATCTCTTCCAGCTCCATCCATGTTATTGAGAATGGCATGAGTTTATCTTTTTTGATCGCTGAGTAATATTCCATTTTGTGTATGTACCACACCATCATGCTCAGTGAAATAAGCCAGAAAGAAAAAGAAAAATACTGGATGATTTCACTTTTAGGAGGAATGTAGAAGAACCAAATAATGGATTAAGAAAAAAAAGAAGTAATTATAATAAAGAAAAGATAAAATTCAACAGGCAACTATAAACCAGAGACATTCTACAGGATTGAATGTCCAGGGAGGGAGAGGGGAGTAGGATCAAAACAGGGGTGGAACAGTACAAGGGACTATGGTGATGGTGCACAGGTGATGGTACAAAAATGAAGAATGATGTGAAAAATATATAAAAAAAAAAGAAAAAAAAGAATATTAAGAATGTAAAAAGTTATCATAAATTAGTAAAAATACAGTCCAGTCCCTACTATCGTCCAGACTGAGTGATTTATATAATAAGAACTCCATCCAAAATAAACCTGAAAATTTGCAAGATTCTGAAATGTGTTCTAAATAATGGAAAAAGGATTAAATAGTGTTCACTAACATTTAATTTCAATTATATTTTTTGTACATTTTGATTTTTTGAAATGATGATCTAAGCTAGTTTACATAGTTATAAAACCCCCCACATAACTAACAAGTACTCACCAGATTGACCCATGCTATAGCCATCCCAGACAGTTTACTATATGAACATATAATATTTCACTAAATCTGAAGGCACAGATACAGGTATGGATATTATTCAGCTAATGAGGGCTAAGATACATTACTTTCATTGAGATCTAATTTTTGTAGACATGAATTGGGCCTAGAATAGCTATGGGAACAAGTGGCAAAAATAACTTTTTGCCTACATTGCAGAAAAACACACTGTTTAAGAGTGTCTGCATACAAATTTAAGATAATTCACAGTCATTATTTCTCAATTTTTCCCAAACTTTTTATAAAGTATGAAGGATAACTATTAATTCTTATTTTCCAGATCCCTCCCTCCCTCCCTCCCTCCCTCCCTCCCTCCCTCCCTCCCTCCCTCCTTTCCTTCCTTCCCTCCCTCCCTCCCTTCTTTCTTCCACTGGGCACAGTCAGAAGCGTGGGAGGGTGAGAAAATTCACCAGAGCCAGAGCAGGGAACAGAACAGGCAGACTGACGAAGCACACTGCTGAGGGGAGCAGCGGGCGCGGTAGGAGAATCTGCGTGCCATGTGGGACCCTCGCAGGGCAGCCGGGAATAGAACCGGCACTGCATAGGCTGCAGGCAGACTCGCAGCCCAGCACTCAACCGCTGCGCCACTGGGGAGGCCCATTTTCCAGATTTTTATAAAGCCACAAAATCATGAGCTTCTCCAAGAACAGCAAATAAATAACCAGTGATTCAGTTGACAGGGTCATCTATCAGAAAATACCCTCAGAGTACCTTCATATAAAACAATGAAATTTAGCTTTCTTAAAGTAAAAAGTAATAGAATTTAAACATTCTCTCAACTCTTTATATAAACAATTTATTCTTCACTTTATAATAACACAAACTTCACTACCTAATCACTTGAGAAGCCAGTCTGGTTAGAATCAAACCATCTTCCCATACCTATAATGATAAGTCAATGGTAGAGATGATTAGTTTATACAAATGCCACAATATCTAACTGAAAACAAAATTCTGGCACTCATACCAAACAACTAGATTAAATGCTTTTGTAGACTTATCTCCACCAAATTAACTACATATTTTAGCACTGTAAACATACAACCTATTAATTATAATAAATAACTTTAGACGTATTTGTTCAAGGTACTATTAATGTCTTTGCTTTGTCATTGTTTTACTAATGTAACCTCTAAGTTGTAGAGAAGATATACTTGAAGATGATACATAGCAGGTTGAGAGGTAGGTAGGCCTGTGTTTTCTCAAAATATCAGTCCTTACATATATATATATATATATATATATATACACACACACACACACACACACACACATGTATGTGTATATATCCACACATACATACACATTCACACACATACACATACATGTGTGTACACACACACACAATTGTTTGTTCTTTCGAACCATCTGATTTGAAAGGTGGCACATATTATGCCCTTACTCCTTAATAATTCAGTATGTATTTCCTAAGAACAAAGTTTGTTTTAAGTAACCATAGTATAGTTGAGAAATTAAAAAACAATATTGTTATTTTATCTATAGTCTATATTCCTATTCTGCTGATTGCCCTAATGTCTTTTTAGAACATTTTTTACAAATGGTATAAGATCCAGTTCAGTATCATAAATTTTAGTTGTGTGTATTTTTCTTAGTTTGACCTTTTGAATAGGTAGTGTATACACATAGTTCAAAAATATAAATTTACGAAAAAGTATACTATAAAAAAATCTCCATCTCATCTCTTACTTTTATTTTTCTAGTTCTTCCACTTTCCAATATGGTTATCAGTATTATTGCTT